CTCACGATCAGCTTCAAGCCTCAAATCCCAATAGGAAGGGACCCTTTTCCGACTGCACAGCTTTTTAGGAGACCCCTGAGAACTAACCAGGCCAGCACAGAGCTTCGTGGCCGCACCCCCATTCGTGTCGAAGCCCTGGCCCCAACTGCTCTGCCTGTGCAGCTAACCCGCCCAGGGTACAGGGAGTGAGGGCAGCAGTGGGAAAGAGCTCCCAGGCGTCCGACTTCATCCCAGAGGGCAGCACACGAAGCATGAGACTGCAGATTTGTTCTGATTCTAGATGCCGGATTAGCACGGAGCCGTGTAGGCCCGGAGCTATGCAGACCCGAAGGAAGGACTCGGTTAGAAATGATCAAAGAACACCCCTGGGAAAGCAGCCAACCTTTCCTCGATCATGGCTACATTGCCACGAGTTCTTCCACGGGGACCGGGTGGGGGGGTGTCCCATATTTGCCACGTGACTGCCACTGTGGGCATTTCAGAGGGGCACACTGGCTCGTGGTGGGGAGGGGCCCTGAGGCCCATCCCCGTCTCCGGGGCACAGGTGACAGAAGCCCAGCCCAGCCTGCCTCGCCCTCACCCCTTACAGTGTCCTGCAGTCACTGCGGATCCCCTCTGAGGCAGATTCTGTCACTGGTGCCCCTGAGTCCTTCCTAAGCAGGAGAGTGGGGCCTGAGAGCATTGCTATGCTGATCCCCTACCATCAGGGGAGGATAGCCCACAGCCTGGCAACATTTCACAGCAGCCAGAGAGGCCCCATGGCCTGGGGCTGCTGTTGCTAGGGTAGCCATTTCACAGACTAGGAAACTAAGGCTCCTGTAAACAAAGAGACCTGCCCGAGGAGAGCCGTACTCAAGACCCAGACCCCCACAGGACCAGGATCTCCTCCCTGCCTCTGCCTGGGTGTTCCAGGCTGCCTGGCCTGTGTGCATGGGCCTCTTCCACCCCTGTCCTATAAGCCCGGCACTGTGTTCTTGGTAGGATAGAGCTCCTGAGGGAGCTAACATCCCTGCACACGGGACCCAACATCATAAGCCATGTGCGGTTGCTGACACTGCTACGTGGGACTGGGCAGGCCACTGCTTCTCCAAGCCCTGACCCAATAACCTAAGAACCAAACGCAAACTGTAAAATGACTCAAAGACCAGTCTCCAGCCCTGGGTGCACGAGGTTATTCACAGGCCTGCCTGGGCCTTGCCCACTGCAAGGCTGGTCTTTCTAGCCAGCGGCATCTCTTGTGCTTTCTCAATCCCCCATCCTCCCAGTAACTTTGGGCAGTACTGGACACAGGCAATAACCAGCTCAGAATCTAAGTGTCTCGGTTCCCAGTGCCACCCTGGCACTTGGGGACAATGTCCTAGTGGCTAGGCGAGCTTGTGCGAGCTGCCGTGGAGGCTGGGGGACTAGGCCCTGGCGCAGGGAACACGCCTCCTCCCATGACCTCCAGGAGGAGGGCATCCTGCTCAGACACAACGTGGGAGGGAAAGAAAGTGTTTTTGTGGGACCTTTTATCTGCCCAACCATGCAATTGCTGTGTGACTGCTCAAGGAGACTCAAGTTGTTCTCCCACCGGATGCTACACCACAGGCCTCCCGCCAGGCAGAACCACAAGCATCCCATTGTGCATGGTCCGGAAGGGACCTGGGCGTGAGGGATAAGTCTTCCACGCCCCACTGTCACCCTCCAGCCTTGGAAAAGCGGCTCAGCTCTGGGACCGCCTGACCTTGGGGCGGCGGACCTTACAGGGTATCGTAGATAAGCCCACGGACAAGAGAAAAATGGCAAAAACAGGGGAGGGAATGGCAGGTATGTCCTGAACCAAAACGTGCCCTCTGCCCACCATGTCTATCTGCTTCTCTCTGTGGCTCCCCACACTAAGACACCCCCACCCACACTTCTTGAGATGGCTGTTTCAGCCACCCAGATCCGAAATGCCTTCCCAACCTCTGCACAGCCTTCCGAAAAGGCCAGGAGCAAATCCCGACAACTTAGGTGGCACCGGTCCCCACACACTCAGCACCATGGCGTCCCCAACCCCAGCCACAAGGGCAGCCCACTCCCCTCCGGCCCCTGAGATCACAGCCCGGGGCCTGCAGAGCAGCCCCTCTGTGCCTTCGTGCAGTCACGCCCTCCTGCCCTCAGCAGGGCCTCCCAGGTCTGGGCTGGAGCCTCATCGCCCTGTCTGCATTTTCCTGTTCTTGTGTGTCTGACATCTCTGAAGCAGAGTGGGGTTTAGTTGGCAGGGCTGTGCGCTCATTGCACTCAGAGCCTGAGAAAGTTCTGGTGAAGAGCAAAGGCAGGACTGCTCGTGGTCTCATGGCAACTGGGGCTAACAAACAGCCAGCTGGACTTGAACCTGGGGAGGCTGGGCCCCATGCCCAAGCCCCTCCTGCAGCCCCAGGTGCCAGGTGAGCCAAGGCAGAAGATGGGTTGAATGCTGGGGGAGTGAAGGAGAGAGTGCCCAAGCCCGAGCAGGGCGGCCTGCGGCTACCCCGAGCACGTGGAGCTGAGCCTCCGCCAGGAGGAGCCAGCCCTCTTCCCAACAACACGGGGACCCACGGGGTTTTGCAGGCTGCCCAAGGGGGAAACAGAGTCAGACAAACGTTGTGGGAGAAAGGGGTCAACATTTCCAACCCTGCGTCCTCCAGAAAGGAAGGCATTCATCTGGGAACAAAGTAAATCTCTTAAAAACAGGAGACAGGAATTTTGCAGACGCTGCACTGTATCCCAAGTTCAGAAAGAAAAAAACTGCTTCAGGCAGGAGGTGGGTGGGGGAGGATGTTTTCAACAGCAACGGAATTATAAACACATTATACATTCAAGCCGAACAAAAGCTCTTTGCTCTTCCTACTGAAATTTGTTTTTACAAAAGTCAAGTTCCCCCCACAACATTCCTCATCTGTCTGTATCCAATCATACCAGCCAAGTAAAAGCCTTCACAAACAAGGCTTCTATCCGATGACCCATCTCCCAGCTGGACAAAGCAGTGGGTGCAGGACGGAGTTTTTTCTCCCACCCGTTGGTCCTAACTGCTCTCCATGAGGCCAGGGAGTTACTAGGCCCTGACAGGGTCCTGGAGACCCAAGAAGGAAAGGGTAAGACATGGTCTTGCCTTCAGGAATAAGCTGGAGCCTGAAGTCCCAGGAAGGCCCTCGAGCATGGTGGAAGTGCCCAGAGCAGCGGTGGCAGGGACCAAAGGCAGGTTCTGGCTCATCCCAGCCCTGCCTGTTGGGCTCACCCACAGAGAGTGTCTCAAGGACCTCCTGGGGAACCAGATGCCACTGGTCAGATGCACGCTCCCACGAGGTCCAGCTCCTGGGGTGATGACCTAGGCGACCTTCCATAGAGTGATCACACATCAGGTGGAATTTTCCCTTCCACGATGACAATGATTGTGGCTACGGGAGCTGGTTCTTACTAGGTACTAGCGCCATGCTAAAGACTTCACATATACTAATGCATTTAACAAAGATGGCCTGCTGAATGATCTGGACTCCTGCTTCGACCTCACCAGGTCAGCGTGCACCAGAACCATGGGCTTCTCTCTACTCCGATAGAGGACGAGCAAGGGCAGGTAATGTGGCAGCCACTGCAGCCCCATGTGCACCCAATTCTTGAGTCATGAGCATGCCCCTGCCCAGCCCATGCTCTTTGGACACCAGATCCCTTTACAGTGCAGTGCCCAGTGTGGCCAGTCGGGGCTGGGGAGGGAAGGAATTGAGGCAACCCAGAACTGCAAGGATGGATTTCTGGGTGTCACAGCCAGAAGCCCAGAGGACATAGATGTGAGGCCTTTAGGGGTTTTCCGAGCACACAATTCATAGCTAGCCAGCTCCAAAGTGTGAGAGAGGACGGGCTATGACAAGACAACAGCCACCTCCTGCCTAGGGCTTCACAGTGTAGGACAGCTGATGTGAGAGGGTGCCTACGTGGGGTTTTAGAAGTGGCTCAGATTCTGGTTCCCGCTGTGACACTGCATCAGGCCAGCTGTGCCCCTGGTGGGCTAGGGGACACAGGGGCTGTCCTCTGCGGCCCCCACTTTCTAACAGCACACAGACATAGAGTGCAGCCCCGGTGCCCACCTACCCCTCCAGACACAGGGCTGTGGGGGTTGGCTGTGTGTGTCCTCATAATGACCTCCTGTGGAGGGGCTCTCAGAGCCTGTCTCGTACCAGCCACTGTGGCTCCACTGCGGGGAGCCAACGCCCGACCTGGGCCAGCTGTACACCCCCTGCAGGAGAAGCCAGCACTTCTGTGCATCAGAAGTGTTCCTGACAGGGCTTTCCACAGCAGCCAGGAACAGGGGGACCACATCACCCTTGCCCATAGAATGATGGGCAAATCACAGCACATTCACAGGGAACAAGGCCCAATAGCCAGAGGATGCACTGTCACCAAATGCCATGCCTCGGGCGACCCACATGGGATGGGACAGAGTGCTGCTTACAGGGCAGAGGTCAGCATGGCAGATGCTGGTGTGTGGGGGCATCGTGGGCACGAGGGCCCTGCTGGGGGCTGGGCTGTTCTGCATCCTCCCCTGGGGGGCAGCTCCGACTTACCTGTCTGTAGGGCACCTACCATCTGGGTAGCTTCCTGTGTGCACCATCTACCTCGGAAGACTAAACTAGCAACAGCTCACGACGTGCCAGGCACAGTGCTAAGCTCTCTCCAAAAGTCCCCACCCTACCCCTCCCCAGCCCCAACAGTGGGTAGGAGAGTGGGGTTCGGAACGGGGGGAATCTATATCTCCCTCTTTGCTCTGGGTGATATTTAATGTGTTGGATGATGTTCAGTCTCTCTAAGTCAATATCACTGCCTCTCCTGGGATGGTGTGACCTGGCACACAGTGTCCCGATTCAAAGAATACCCTTCATGCTAGCATGCCAGACCTGAGGGCTGCTGCATTCAGGAAGGGGGACCCCCCTATTAATGCCCCCACCCCCGCCCCAGCACAGCAGGGCCTCAGAAGACAGCTGTGAAGGCCCCGAGGCTGCACTCACCCTTCCCGATCTGGATGAAGCCCAGCAGAATGATCAAGGCTAGTGCCAGGAGTTTGGCTGCAGCGAAAGCATCCTGGACCCGGGTGGCAGCCTTCACGCTGTAACAGTTCACGGCCGTGAGCAGCACTGTGGAGAAAAGGCAGTGAGTGAGTCCCACTGGACAGATGGTCAGCATGACGCAGGGGCAGGCTGAGAAGAAACCCAGCCCCTTTGGTGGGGTCTCATCCTCCAGGACTTGTTTTGATAAACTTGACAACAAAATAGGACCAAGGTCAAGGGCTAAGAATCATAGGCTCCTAGGCTGTGGTCGCAGGTACCCCTTGGCTGTCACAAAGGATTTTTTTTTTTAAAGAATGAAGTTCAATCTTCTAAGGGAACACCAATCAATACAGGTACCTTCCCTTCCTCCCCCACCCTCCACACCCCTGAGTTGAGCTCAGCCTATCTTAACAGTGTAGGTTAAATAGCTAACTGCCATTTGGAGGGGGACTGCATTCACCTCTTTGCACCCACTCAACATTTACCATAATTTACTGGGTTCACATACAGCCTACCAAACTTCTTGAAGGTGGGAAACTCTTTCTTCGGAGAGAATCTTTTAGAACCCCCCAGAGTTAACAGGGGAGTGAGGTACCCCGCTGGCACAAATCCATGTGACAAGCCAAGTGGTGGGACCACAAACCCCTGAAATGGAGGTAGAAGGTGAATCTTGGCCCAGGGCCAAGGAGCAGCCACACCGGGGTGGTCTCAGCTGGTACAGGAAAGCACAGTTCTACTTCTGCTGTGACAGCATACCTTGAAACGGAAACTTGCACCAGTCACAAGTGGTTCCCCCCTGACCTGGATGGGCACAGAGACGGAGACAGGGTGGCCAGTGAACACTCCCGGACATAAGCAGGCGCTTCCCCGGGCGCCTGGGAGGAGACCATACCCCGCGCAGAGGGGCGCTGGGGCGGGTATCTGCATGCTTGGGAGCCACCACTAACTGTTCAGGGATCTCAAGAGCTGGCAGTTCACAAAGCTACCCCGTAAACTTACAATGAAACAAAATTATACTAAAACAAAGGCAATGAAACACTCAACACCAATGCCTTCCCATTTCCGTATTTCTAACTCATTCACGCACTCAGGTCTCTGTGCTGCTGAGTCGCCTCGCTCTCAGGTGAGTGCACCTCGCTCTCATCCCAGCTCCCCACCCACGGGTGCGGAACACTAGGCGCCCAGGGAGCATTTACACAGGGAACTGGCAGGGGCACAGATGGGGCCTTTTTTTTTTTCACGGAGGGCTGGCCATTAAACATTAACCAGCATGGCCAGAGCCCAGGGGAAGGGCCTCTCTCCACCTCTCCCCCAATACCCACCTCTTCCTCAGAAGGCTTCAGTAAGGTAAGGAAGTCTGTAAAGACTTTTTGCTTGTCCTTCCTCTTTTCTAGACAGAACTAACCCAGGGCTGGGAACCCAGGTGGCGTCTTTCCCCAGCAAAAGTAATTACATGTAATTTCACTATCTGTAGATTAGGGTCCAAAGAGATAAATCCACGCTAGTTAACTGGAGGAGACCCACCAGTCCAGGTGGAAGGAAAACAGGAAATCTTCCCGGTGTGCTCTGGGTGGGAGTAAGGGCTTCACCACTCTGACTCTCTCTCTTGGAAATGAACTGACACCTTAACAGCAACCGCCCCCTCATTTTTCTTCACTGCTCTGAACCTTGGCTGATGCAATGGTTGACAGACTGTATGTCATGCACCAAGAAAGTTCAGGCTGAAAAATGTTTTGAAAGTATTTGCTTTTGGTTGCTATCCTAAAACTGAAATACGCAGAATTCCCCCAAGAGCCTGGCTTGGCTCTTACCTGTGGGGACCCTAGCGGAGACCCTGGCTCTCAGGCTGCTCTGCACCTTCAGAGGCTCACAGTAAAATGAGCCGCCTCGGGGTGGTAGGGGTTTAAATGAGGCAGTGAAGATGTAGGGTTTGAGACAAAGTGCCCGTGTCACAGTACTGAAGCCATCTCTTGCAGCAGGAACTGAAAGAAAGGCTCAGAGGGGCCGCACAAGGCAAACAGCGCCTGTGGCCTTCATTGTGTGGCTCTGAGGGGGACACATGCTCGGTCCTGGCCCTCAGGACCAACGGGAAGACCGCTGTCCTGTGTTAAGCACGTCAGCACTGCCATTCCCAGCACGGAAGAGGAAAAAAGCTCAGAGGAATCACCTGTCCAAGGAGGAAGGGGTATTCCCAAGACTGAGACCCAGGTCCGCGGGACCCTCTGACATCCTCCATAAGACTGACAGTGCAGGGTGGGGAGAGGGAAGGAATAGTAGAATTTCGTCTTCCTGGGCTTCCTGGTAAGTGCTTCCAGTTTAGTGGTCTCTGGCTGGGGGCCAGGATGAAGAGGGCTTGAAGGGCAAGCCCAGGTTCCTTCCTGCCACCGGATGGGTCCCAGGGAGCCCCTGCACAGCGAAAGGGCAGGTCTGGGGTCCCTTGGCTTTTCTGAGTCAGCCTCCCATTTTCTTTTGGTTGAGTGACAGTCCTGACGCAACTGCCCCAGGGTCCTCCTCTCAGTACACTCAGCTTTTCCAGTGCAGCAAGAAGCGTGAAGATTGCATCACTCCATTCACTGCCACTGGGGGGCGGGGCAAGCGGGAAGGCGCAGCCCCAGCAGGCAGGCAGGCAGCTGCTCTCTCTCCACCAGCCCCAGGGCAAGGTCCTCTTCTCCTCACAGGGGTCTCTGGCCTCAGAAACTGCAGCAGCACTGCGGGCACCACCGAGTGCAGCCAGCTCTGGCTGTCACCTCTGCTTGACTCGCCCCACTTGGGGTCTCTCCGCTGCACGGTGAGCAGGGGCAGGGCAGGACTCTGAGGCTCCTGGAAGGGGAGATAGCTTGCCTAGAGAGCCCCCGGCCTGTGGGCTCTCCTACTGCCCTGGTCACTGACACAGGGGGTGGGTCTTAGTTGTCACTAGGGTGAGAAAGAGGCCCCTCCACAGATAACAGAGGGCGCACACCCTGCCCATTCCAAGGTCCCACCCAGCTGTTCCCACCAACAAGGGCTGAGCCCCACCCATGTCAGAGAGCCACTCTGCACTGAGGCGCTCTCTCCCCAAACGCAGGGCCATCCCAAGACATTAAAGATGTCCAGATTGTGAACCAGCGATGGGCTGATGGCCCGCAGCCTGGGAGGGAAAGGAACCAGCTCACAGAACAAAGAGGACTTTATAATATTTGTTCCTTTCTAAAGAGAACCAAAACGCATGATGAAATTTCTATTTTCATTGACTTTGGCCGATGGGTCAACACATACTTTATTGTTCTCATGGTGTTCCTTTTTAAAAAATTTCAAAATGAAATATAATCTTAAGTAAATAGGCGAATCCATTGGGACACAGTGTCTCCTAGCCTTAGCGAAAGCAGCCGTGGGAGGAGGCGGTGGGCTGGGACTGCAGCCCAGCTTCCCTGCTTTAAGCTCCACCACCTGGACAAGATGCCCAGCCCCCCTGAGCCCCAGTTCCCACACCTGTGGGATGGGGACTGATGGGCACAAGGGGGGGTGCTGGGTACAGAGATGTGAGAAGGGCTTGCTGCTGTCGTCACCATGACTACTAACCCACAGCCCTTCCAGGAAGGGAGACGAGAAAGCATTGATGCTTGTCCCACATGCAGGTGGGGAGAGCATGGGGCCTGCCAGGGCACGGCCAACCAGCACCAGCAGGCTGATAAAGATGGGTGACTGACTATCAGGAGGGCACCTGGCTAGAAGCCAGCCCTCTCCAGGGTTCCTTGTGCCAGCACCCCCAGATAGGCATGGCTGCGCTCTCAGATGGTGACAGCTGGGGTGAAGGAGATAAGGTCCAGAGCCCCCTGGAGAGGAGGCAGCTCTGGGCTGGATGCTGCCTGGCTCATTTAGGTCCGCCCCCTTCTCCGTCCTGATGTGACAGCCCACCCAGGTGGCTGGCAGGGGCATCTGGCTCCACTTCAGCAAAGGAGCCGGGCTCCCAGGGCTGCACTGCAGGGACACCATCCCTCTGCTAAGGGGCTCCTGCCCTCCTTCTTCCCTGGTGGCTCTACTTGAACCCCCATCCTCCTGTCCAGTATGCCCCATGGGCCCGAAGTGCTGCCCAGTGAAGGAAGGAAGCCCCCTCGGCTGGGCCTCCTGCTCTTGTCCCCTGGCCTCCGGGGACACCTGGTTACAGTTAGAGCCCAGCTGTGAGGTCCAGCTCCAGTGCTGGCCTGACTGGGTGCCTCAGTTCAGATCAGTCATCTACAGACTGCAAGGGGAGATCATCCCTGAGGGCTGAGGACTAAGGACACTGGCTGGGCACAAACGCAATGACACACGACGGCTCCTCCCCTGGATCTGTTATTGCTCAGGACCCCTCTCTGATCCTGAGCATGGTGGCCTCCGGGGTCTCTGCCCGCTAGTGTGGCTCAAGACACCCCACTCTCTCTGCTTCCCCATCTGGGTGGTGCTTTCTACATGAGGTTTGAGAGTCCTTGATAAAAAGGTCAATTCTTGGGGCAGAGGCAGTCAGGGACCTATGAGCAATGCTTCCTCAGCAGAGGTGGGGCCCGGCTGTGGGGAACTGGCCGGGAGGGGCCGAGACGCCAGGCACAGGAGCATCGTTTGGCCCAGAGCTCGGCAGCAAGCCCTGAGACACGAAATGCCTGTCGACCTCTGTGACTGAAGCTGGTCAGAGACCCAAGCTCAGGCGAATGGCCAGTCTGCTGACTTGGACATCTCGGCACTCACCGGGCCCTGGACTGAGCCCTGGCTACAGGTGGGCCTGCTCCTAGGATGAAGGCCAATGACCACACACAGGATGGTGTGACCCAGGAGGCTGGGAGAGCTGACACCAACAGGACTGACCACCAAAGGGGCGTCCAGTCACTGTGAGTTCTTGTCTTGCCTTTGCCGTATTCACCTAAATCCACCTGGCACACCGGGGACCCAGGTGGTTTCCCAGGAATCACCTTTGCCGGGCCCTGAGATGTGTGTGAACTGCCAACCCTGACCACGTGACAAGGTCGCCGGCCTCACAGCCAGGATGTGCTAGAACCCTGAGCAGCTCAGGCTGACGAGGGCTCCAGACCTCATCTCTACTGCCGGCCGCTGAGGGAAAAGGAGGCAGTTCCCAG